CTTACAAATCTGTAATGAATTTGCTGGATTACTGTCTTTGCTATATCCTTAACGTATAATAAAGAATTTGCTTCTTTGCAGAATAATTAAATTGAGAATATTGCATTTTAACCACAAAGAAATGCAGATTTTCTTCTGTAGGCATTTTTCCTTTCACAAAGGTTGCTTAAAGTGGTTCTTAAAAGATAATTCTAGCTTGCTAAATTTAGGGTATGGAAAAAGTCCAAAACAAGAAAATTCCATGGCTAATTGTGTAAGAAATGTTAATATGTTCAGTAAGGGTAGGATGTCCTATACTCTTGATGCACCTCTCCCTCTCTCTCTCTCTCCCTTTCTCTCTACACATAACTTATAATTTTGCCAGGTGAAAAGTTCCTGGAGGCAGTAAAGAATTTTACCACCATCACATTTTAAATGTAAAATGATTTCTATCTGAGTTATATTTAAAATCACCCTGAAGTCAGTCAGAGCCACTCTTCAAAATTTATCAGCAAGTTATCAGAAAATGCTTATCATCTTCATATTCAAGGCAGATTTCTGGTCATTCTCAGTTCACTTGCAAAAAAGAGACCTTAGCTATAAAATTTAATATAAGCACAGTGTACTGGTATCTGAAACTTGCTTTGAAATATACTGAAAAATAGATTAATTAAAGCTACATGGATAGATATGGGATAAAATGGATACAGCAAAATGTTTATTGTAGAATGTAGGTGGTTCACTCTACAACTCTTCAACCTGAAAATAAAGATGGCAGGTCACAAGGTTAGTAGGGAACTGCACCTTAGCTCCCCAATAGTGTTCTGAGAGGGTATCAGTGGAAGCAGCTGTGTAGGACCTGAATAAGCTGGGCCCTTGACATCTCAGTAAGCTTCTCACACTCCCAACTGGGCAGGATGATAGCTGCAGAGCCCTTGGGGGCCCAGAGAACAGACTGCGCAGTGGTTAGTGTCTTTAATGTATCAAGTCATCATATACTCTATTCCTGTTTTTGAGGACACCAGTCACTTTCTCAAGACTTAATGAACATAATATTAAACTAAACATTTAGAAACTCAGAATTGGTCCCTAAGGAAACTCACATCATTGTTTTTGTATAAACCCTTAGTAACTGGTGACTCTTGAACTATTCATGACAATCATGGAGCTTTAGGAAGGTTCTGCAATGGCTTTAGTGCTCAGTGATATTAAGTAGGTTGGGCTGAAGCAAAAAAGGGTAAAGTAAGGAAGGAGAAAAAAGGAATGAGAGAAGATAGATAATAATGTGCTGCTGTATCGCACTGGTGAAGAGGTGATGAAGACTGAAGAGTGCTCGGGAGCCATCAAAAACGCTGTCTTTTGACTCCTGGTTCTGTCAAGTTTCCCCTTCAGCTACAGAACACATGCCCTCGTTTGTTGTTGAGACTGTCCCATAGGGACAGAATCAGAAGCCATGCCATGGCACAAAGGCAACATTGGTCATGTACTCCCTGTCTATATAGAATGCCAGTTTATCAAAAGAGGAATTAAATGGGCATGATTTTTGTAAAAAAAAAAAAAGAGGATCAGTTAGAGTCCAATGCTATTCATGGTCTGGGACATGGTAAACAGCTTGGTTTTTTCCCATGAATGGCATTTGTTGTATAAGCCTGCACAACTGGTTGTCAATTTTAACTTGTCTCCAATTTGATAATATCTATTGCTCTGAATCTGTGCATATGGTTTTAACAGAAGATTCACCTGTGAGTGATGTGGTCAAGGGTACACAAGATGATATAACTCCCAGACAGAAGAGGATTATTAGAATGGAGGGCAGAGGTTGAGTTAGGCTTAGGGGGTAAATAATGGCAAAACTGGGGAGGTATATCAGGCCCTAATAAGAATGGGAACAGCCCTAGTGAGGCATGGGCGACTTTGAGCTGGAACGGAAAAACTGATAGAGGGGGAAGGAGAGGGCACAATTCTTCAGGGTACCCATTGTCCCAACCTATCAGTGATTCTTTGAGTTGCTCACCTCCACTTCAATTATCCATTTTGTAAATGGTGGATCTACATAAATTTATTTAAAAGAAATAATCCACTGTGAATTTTTAAAAATCAATCGTCTTAGGTAACGGCAAGCACACAAACCATTTGAGTTATCTGGGTTTTTATCTTCCATGACAGCATCAGCCCAATAGCACCCACTACTTTGAGTATCTTCGCAGCAGAATCTGCCTCCAAAGGTATTGTGGGTCAGCAATGCCAACAATGAGCTTAGATCTGTACAGTCTGCCTCAGTCCTTATCTGTATGATTATGAGTAAGCTATTTATTTGCTTTTCTCAACATTTCTCCTAATCCCAAACTCAGAGAGGTGTATATACAGAAAGGAAATTGTATTTTGTGAAAGAACTTAGTGGGTAAATGTTCATTATCTTTTGATTGACCAAATGGTGTTTGCTTGCCATAGATCATTGGAATTCCGGCATGATTATCACCTAGCTTCTTTCAGCTTTTTTCCCCTTTAAAAATGTTTGAGTGCAAATTCTTTTTTCAATAATGGGAATAGTATTACTAAATACATTGTAGTTGCCCATGAATATTTCATGCATAGAAAATAAAAGCATTGGCTTAGCTCCCAAATAGTGTCGAATCTTTTACAAACCTAAAGAAATTTCAGATTCTCCCTCTACCAAGTCCCAGGTTCCTGGCAGCACACAGGACTGTCTCGCCCTAGCTTTTCCTCGCCTCAACTTCATATTGAATTGTTTGCATTCTGGTATTCAACAGGCTGATTAATCCTGGAGTTATTTTGTCCATGTTACTCTTAAGACTTAGCTCAGGTATCATCTCCCCGCAGGCACCTCTGTTGTCACTTCCATGCCAGTTGAACTAAGGGTCTCTCTGCAATGACGAAGCTGCTCACCCAAATTAGTGTGCTTACGCGCTTTCCCAAGGCAAGGATTCCAGTGCCTGGCCCAGGCGGTAGGTGTTCTAGGAATGCTGACCTGAGTAATACCACACTAATAACTACAAATTTGGGACTTGTGACTAACTTGTGATTGGCTACTGCTAATTCACATCTGATCAGCCAAAAAGTATCCAATTTTCCCTTCTTCGTGCTCTGTAGTACCATTCTACCTAGTTGTATTGAAGCACTGAAAGTAATATAAGGCATTTTTACCCTGTCATTGACTTTAGGACAGTGCTATTCGAATTTGCAAACAGACATTTTAGTGAGAATATGCCAACACTGATGAATTTTCCTTGAGAGGAAGGGGAGATGGTGAGGGAAGAGCATGTAGATGATGAAGCCAACTTGCAGACTACCGGTTTCCTCACATCATCCCAATAATGCATTCACCAAGGGGCCGTAGCAGGAGCTAGATGGGAGGGCTCTTTGTTTGGGTTAGGAATTGCATTTTATCTTCCACACTAAAGCAAGATGGTAGCACTAGAGGACAAAGTCGTACTCCCAGTAAAGAAATGACCAGGCCCTATAGGGTTGGCAGCAGCAGCACAGGTTAGAGCCTTTGAGGAAAAGTAGGTAAAGTGTAAAGGAAGAGGTGGCAAAAATAGGTACACCCTCAGGTGAGGGACCCCACCAAGACAGGTGCCCAGGTGCACCTTGGGGCTCCCTAGCCTGAGCACCAACTGTGCCGACAGCCTCCATGGCACAATTGCAGGGGTGGGAGGGCATCACTTACCCTTGGGCCTAGCTCCTCTGGGTGCATGGGCATCTCTTGCTTGTCCGTGACCCACCACTACACTATACTTGCTCATCAATGCTCCTGTGCACAGCACTTAGGGTTTGCCCCCTAGAATGGCCATTGGCACTGCCCTCTTCCACCAAGTAGGGGATGACCACAGCCCAGCTGCTCCACGCTTATGTTGGCCAGGAAAATTGTTTCTGGCACTCTCAATCCATTATTGATTCAGCACTCCCTTGGGACATTGACAGAACAAAGGAAGACACAAGTGCAAGACCTGAGTGCATGCAGAGGCATAAAATGTTAAGACCCACGTCTAGATGTGGAAGGAGGGTAGGTTGGTATAAGGGTAAGAAGTAAAAAGGAAAGAAATCAAACATCTACGGTAGAAACCTAGACCTTTAGTTATGTTAAGAGCACAAGTGCTTGCATTTCAAGTAGAATTCTATTAAGTCTTAGTCGATGGAACGTTGTGGTAGCATACATCAACTTTCTTTAAAAATATTCTAGAAATCTAATTAATGAGCTTGGCTTAGTCAGGTATTTAAAGTACATTGATGTTTGTCCTAACCTATGTTGTACAGGTAATAATCTAATACCAATTTTTTTTAGGATTAGGAACCTTTGTGTGTGTGTGTCGATTTGAGCATGGGGAAGTGAAACAAGGGTTAGAGAACTTTGTTCCCTCTGTTGGCAGAAAAGGGCCAGCAGCAGACACAGGCCACAACCACAGGCAAAAGATTATTAGAGAAATTCATTATTAAATTTAATTTTCTTTAAATACATACCTTCTCCCACCCTCACCCACTCCAGGGAGGAAGGGAAACCCCCACCCTCTCCATCTGGGGGAATTTCATATATAAAGCCTGAGATGGTAAGAATGAAGTATAAAAATACTAAATACAAAAGGGAAGAGGGTATCTGTTGCTACCTTTACTTTCAGACACCCCCATCCCCAGGCCCCTTCTGCTCCTTTAGAAAAAGCCCCTGGAAATCCATTTGTATGTAGAATAAGACCTTCCTCTGGAGGGGCACTCAAACCCCAACATGGAATAGGAAGCTCTGAGATTAACTGAGGAAGAGAACGAATGGATAGCACCTCAGATCCTAGCAGGGGGGAGGGGACTGGCCCTCTATTACCCTGTAGACAGCAGGCTGGCCAGCCAGCCCTTTTTTCCATAGGTCCCATGTAAACATTGACTTTGCCTTTTTTATATGTCCCTGCTCTTCCTGATTTCCTACAGAGCCTCCTTTACTTACACTTGAGGCACTTGGTTCCTTGATCTTTCCTTCCTTCCTTTCCTTTTAGCTCCTTATTTTTTTTTAGGAGGCGAGGCAGAGCCCATCTCACCCCTTCTAGGGCAGTTTGTCCTGCTAAGGGGAAACCTCAGGGGTTTGCTCCAAGTTCTTGGGCAGATAGGGGTGGATTTCTTTCCCCAGAGCAGGGACGAGGCAGGAAAATACTCCAGTACCAGGAGACATTGGTCTTGAAGGGTGATACTATCAATACTGAGTAGCAGGGACGGAGACTTCAGGAGGCAGGAAGGTGGTGCAAGTCTGGTCTTACTGATAGTGGGAGATCAGCCCTGCACAACCTCCCCTTCACGTAATGATTACCACCCAACAGTCATTGTTCATTGCAGAGGGAGCAGGCATCCACGAGGCAAGATGTCTTCTCCAGGCCTTGGTGTAGAGGCAGTACTCACACCAGCTCATCCAATAGGATCCCGATGCTCTGAGTGGCCTCTGAGGGACCAGTGATGGGCTTGTTACACATAGGGCAGACACAGCGTACTTCCAGCCACTTCACCAGACACCTGTGTGCAAAAGAAGACCTGAAATACTTTGACCTGCTCTGGCTGTCTGTCTGTCACTCATAGAGCCCAGCTGCTTCTCAGAACAAGACTATCTCCATCCTTGCCCCAATATAACCCCTCCAGGTTGCCTGCTGTTCAGGCAGGACGTAGGGCATCCCCGGCAAGGGGTAGATGGGAGGGGGTAGAGACTGGAGGTTCTAGAACATGCATTCTGCTTATTTCTGTTAAAAGGTACCCTGGACACACATCTCCACTTACTTCCGATGAAAAGCATGTTGGCACGGGAGCACGCCTAACTCATCTTTCCCCTTGAAGTCTTCCAGACAGACTGCACAGGTCTGCTGTGGAAAGAAAGGGGGCACTGTGAGAGGAGATCAGGGAAGAATCTCACTCACCCATCCTGAAAACACATTATCTCAATCCCATCTCGGAAACCTAAGTCCTAGCATAGTTTCCTTATCATCTAGAGAAAAGTTTTGTCATTCTATAAAACTATACTGACATTACGGCAGCTTCTACCACATGTGACTGTTTCAATTAACCAAAGTAAGATGGAATTAAAAATTCAGTTTCAGTACACTAGCTGCATTTCAAGTGCTCAGTGTCCACCACGTGGCGAGCAGCTCCCACACTTGATGGTGCAGGTAGGGGACACCCCTGTAAGTGCAGCTCCCATTGGGAAGCGCTGCTCTAGAAGAATTCTTTCTAACCCTTTCCAGCCTAGTTCATTTGGCAAGGGGACATGTAGCAGAGCGGTAAGGAGGAGGGGACGGTGTATGTAGTCAGCCACATCCTTTAAATCCAGTTTTGCATCTCTATATATTAACCCCCTCAATCTCAGCTGAATTACTCTTCTAGAGAGCAGCTTAGGAAACATCTGAACCTGCTGAGATGTAATAACATATCAAAAACAGGGACAAAATGTGGCCATTTCTAGGTAGCCTCATGTCTAGTGATATCTGTGATCCTCCCTGCTCCAGACAAGCACAAACACTCTACAGGAGTGTCCATGGTTACGGAAGGAAGCCTTGGGAAATGGGTTAGGTGACCTCAAAGACATAGGGGGTAAAGAAATAGGAAAAAGGTCTATTCCTAAGGAGTCAGTGTTGAGGGGAACCCAAGGAACTGGTGTGGGGGATGGGTAGAGTACTGGAAGGATGGGGAAGAACCACAAGGATGGATACGCTACTCAGATCCATAGTCTGTCTGGACAGTGTGTATATACAAAGGTAGAAGGACTTTCTTTTTAGTGAAAAACTAAGACCTGGGGTCTGAACACGGCAATGTTAGCTGAAATCTGGCATGGAGTTGTGCAACCACCCTCCCCTTAAAGATCATGCCGCACAGGCTTCCTGGGGCCACGTGTCACCCCTTATCCGAACCCTTTTGTGATCCCTTTGTTTTTTACCGGCAGTGGTTCTGGACATAATGAATTCTATTTATTACCATCTGGGATGAGCCACTTTTATTTGGCCCAAGGAGATATGAAGGCAGGGACTAACAAGGTCCCTGAAAGAGTTCAGACTGGAAGGTGGAGAAGGTGCCGTCTGCTTTACCCACTGGGGCCCTCCCGCGTGCTGTCCCAGCACACTCACCCCATATAATTCTAACTTCTTGGCATCGCCTTTAAGCACCACCTGCGAAGAAAAGAGGGGGCGTATGGTATCAGAAGAAACCAACCAGAGGCCAAGTGGTAACAACCAATGAAGGGAGTCCCCGGCCCTGCACAGGAGTGGCACCCTCTGTCCCCTTCTCTCCTCCCACAAAGGGGAGGACTCTGGGTACTGCCTGGGCCACCCAGACTTGAGGACAGTAAAGGGAGTCAGTGCCAGAGAGGGGAGGCCAAGGGGCATTCTAGGCCAGGACAGTTAAGCTTGTTCTCTTCCCCTGTCTCTAGCAGGACAAGTAGCAGAGGAGTCTCAGGGAATGATGGGGTACTTTACCTCCTTGTATCCGTATCGTTCACTCTGTGCCTGGTTCCGGAGTTTGCTGAGGGAGAAAGAGGGGCAGAGAAGAGGTTACTATGCCTTCGAACAGCCATTCAGAGTAGAAGAGGTAGGCTGGCTGCTTGGCATTATTCTGGGATGGTGAGGGGTGCTCCCCACAGGCGTGGCTCATCAGGCCACTCAGAGTAGATTAAGGACGCAGACTCTTCCTTAGGTTCATCCTCAAAATTTACTGCCAGATCCCACAGGTTGAGAAATTCTCTGGAAGAGGACCCTGAATAGTTCATTCACTCTCCCTGCCATTCCCCAGTGGGTAAAGTCCTGCAGGCTCCCAAACTACATAGATCAACAACTGCTTACTGAATATATAGAAGCTAGGTATTCTTAAACAGGATATTTCCATTGAGCCGGGGAGTGGTGGGGAGGGGGCAGGATAAATAAGTCTCT